TATCAATTTGCCGCATTTCTGTACAGCGCTCTCGCAACTCAGCAGGGAGCTCATCAAGCACTGAACCATTAATTATTCATATAGTCACAAACATAAGATTTATATGAAAAACTCACTTTCCAGGAAGTCATCCAGGAAAAGCATCTCCGAAGTATTAGCTCTCGGCTTACCTCAGTAGCTTTGTTAGTATTTACCTATGAAACCAAAAACGAGTTAAACGCATCGCTACATAGTAAAAGAATGAATTGTGGACAGGTAGATGGAATAGAAACCAACGGCAGTCAACAAAGTATAAATGAGGTTTCGCACGATTCATTTGAAACCACTGCAACACTAATATTAAACTGTACTAAAAAATCTACATTGACTCTTATTCAGACAAATCAAAAGAATAATTGGTTATAGGATATTTTCTTGCGTCATCAAACGGAAAAGCTCGATAGAAATCATACGGATACTGTTTTGGCATCTGAAAACAAATAAGCATATCTTTGAGCACATACTTGTATAAAAGGACAAAAAAAGATATAGTCAAGGAAACATAATGAAAATAAAACGTACGGCTGGATTCTTCCAGCGCAATGCATTGGGATCCTCATTGCAAAATAACCAAGAGAGAAGCGCCATCGGAACGAGAACTCTTAGACACATGATGATAGAACCCCACCTGGAAAGGGCTTATACAAAAAACTAGCCGGAATTTTGCACACAGAATTTACAGAACTGCAATGCAGATAGTTGAATAAGAAATGATTTGGAAAAGGTTTATCAACGCAGCGATTGAAGTCTCCTAAATGTTAATTGGAAGCATGCATAGTCGGTCGTCCGATCGCAACAACCGCAAAGCATTGGGTACGTATCGATCGTCTGACGGGCGACACAAGCGATAATACGATCGCTTGTGTCGCACGTCAGACGATCGATACGCACTCATGTGTTGTTTGGGCTAGCATTGAATCACCGCGTCGCCTTCCCTGTGCGACCGCGGCTTAGGTGTCGTTACGACCGAGTATGAA